TTTGTTATCTCACAGTTTCTTACAGTTCAGATGTTTTGGAGCAGTGCAGTAGGTTACAAAAGGGCTGAACAAAATTCCTGAAGACAGCTTGTGAGAAATAAGACTAAGATTTACTAACAGATATTAAAAGGAAAGTAAAGAGTTAATTTCAGGGGCTGGGGATTTAGCTCAGCGGCAAAAGCGCCTGCCTGGCAAGCGCAAGGTCGTGAGTTCGGTTCCCGGTACCGGAGAAAAACCAAAAAAAAAAAAAAAAAAAGAGTTAATTTCAGTTTACTAATGAGAGAAGGTCCGCAAGAAGTGGGTAGTGGTCCAACAGCACTTCTTGGTAGGTCCACAGGGGCGCGTGAACTCAATAGGGTAGCTTGGCAAATTCCATGGTGTGTGTGTGTGCACATGCACATGTGCACACAGGGTGTACATAGCCATGGTACTGCAGGAAAATCCCACTGGGATTTATTAAGCTGGATTAACACCCACTGCTCATAAACTGGATTAACACCCACTGCTCATAACCCACTTGCACATAATAGCAAGAGTATAAACTTACAAAATCTATGAGGCACACATACCTGGCAGTGTTATCCAGCTGGTTTCTGGTAGCCTGTTAATATGAACCACTTAGTAGAAAGGAGAAGACTTTATAGATTAAGGTACATAGCAGTGACATCATTAGGTTCTTTTTTTTTTTTTTTTTTGCTTTTGTTTCCGGTTTTTATCTAATTGTATGAATAAAATTGCAAGAAGTGGCTGACTTAGCATATGGAAACAAGGCAACTCTTATAGAAAACACTACCTTTTCCAATGTCCTTTAGATACTCCTTAGCCAGATTTCCTACTGTCACGCTGCTTAAAATGTCCCCTGTATATGCCCAAGAGATTTGGCAAGAGTCTTGAGAATGTTAAAGGGGCATGGGAGGGACATGATACCAAATCTCTAGTTTTTCTCAGGGCTGACAACCTCCACCCCCAGGTGCTTGAATGTTTTTATCATCTTATCATGCCCATCTTTTGTGATGTCTCTCAGGCAGCTCATCACCATGTACATTGAAACAAACCCACCATAACAGTACAAAGAGCAAGAAATCGTAAGGAGCCCTGTTTTAACAGTATGTAAATCAAATATTATTTTATATTGCAGGAGGCAATTGCACCAACTGTAAATAAGATCAACCTTAAGTTTAACTCTACTAGTAATGTGGGTCTTCACTTGAGTAAAGCTAATGATACACTGTAAGAATTATCAGTAATGAGTATAGTATTTTGTTTGACAAGTGCCTCGTTGTTCTTTATCTAGTGACTCCAGGTGGTGAAACACAATTCATTGCACTAAAGGCTCAGTTATATTCATATGTTTTTGTATAAAGTGAAAGAATGATATAGCATTTGGTGTCTTGAAAAGAAGGTAAAGTGTAAGTCCATACAACAATCATTATGAGCAGTGGGTGTTAATCCATCTTAATCATTGTTTTTCTTGCATTAAGGAAGTCAGCTGTATATGTCACAAGCAAAAATAGTACAGGAAGACCAATGCATCTCATTATATATGCTCTAATTTATTTTACTGTTTTTGGACTATCAGCACATGCCCAAGTTTGTATTGTGCTTGGTGTTTTTAGTAGGAGCATCTAAGATCTGGATGCTTTAATGGTAAGTCATTTAAATTTAAGTGGACACATGAACATCTTATGATTTTGATCATCTTTTGTGATAGTTTAGTCAAGTACATATACAGTTATCCCTCACCTATCATGGAAGTTACATTCCAGAGATCCCCATGATAGGTGAAAATCTGTGAAGTAGTGGTGTTATATTTATTTTATTATTTATATATATTTAAGGCTTTATAAACCTTTCCCACATTCCTATAAACCTTTCCCACTCTCTTATTAATCTTTCCCACACTCTTACAAACACTTCATATGCTCTTAAACACTTTTTACACTCTTAAATCTATGTAATTTTAACATTAAAATTCTATATGGGTACTCCATGTGGAGTAGACAAGGAGAGATGCTGAACATATGGGCACAGCGCAGGAGAATCAACAGACTCATGCTACGGTCACTGAACCAATCAGTGCCCAGGATATAGAACACAGTGCTGTCATTGGTCTCCTTCCATTTCACCAGCCAATAGTGTGCCATGTACAATCTCATGTTGGCAAACTTGCCCAAGCAGTAGGGGCATACCGCATTTCCATTGTGTACAGTGTGGTATTCATCCACTGATGAAATACATATTGTATTTTATTTTGATTTATTCTTTTGATACGCTGGAATTAAAATTTTTAATATTTTTATAGTTTTAAAATTTTAGGCAAAAATAATTAAAATCATAAATATTCTATAAAAACTTATATACCACGACATCCTGCAATATAGCGAAAACTCCATGATACAGAATTAGATTTTTTTAAAAAAAAGACCTGTGATACAGTGAAGCCACAATAAGTGAACTGCGATATAGTGAGGGACAACTGTATGTAAGAACCTTTTATAAGCTCTTGCTCTTAATTTTTGGTAAGGCTGATGCAAAGAAACCCATCTTGATTTTGACAGATCTAATGTTTTCTTTATAGTCTCTGTAGTCTTTTTTTGTGATATTGTGATTTGAACCCAGGGACTTTGCACTGAGTTCCATCCTCAGCCCTTTTACATTTTTTTTTATCAAAAGATAATCATATGTGAAGATAAAAAACTACTGCACTCTTTTCCAAAATTGTTGTGTCATTTGGCAATCCCACTGACATTCAATGACAGTGCCGTTCTAGTGAGAGAATAGTGGCCTCTAATTGTACTTTTGATTTCTTTTCTTAATGGTGCGTGATGCTAAACTAAATCTTTTCATCTGAATACTTTAATTTTGAAGTGCGTGTTTGTCTCCCACATATTTTTCAATTGTTTTCTCAATTCTTGACATTTTAATAGTTGCATAATATCTGTCATGTCAACTAGCTAAATATTCTTATTTTGTTAACATAGGACTTGTTATTGGGCATTTTGTTGAATTTAAAATTTAGAAAGTATACATAACTTTATCCAAATTGCTTGCTCCTGTCTCCTACTTTTTTCTTTAAGTCACACTCCAAAAAGCAAAATTCTAATATCAAAATATGAACAGTGATATTACTCAATGGTAGGATATAACTGGTATTTGATTTTATAAAATTTCCGAGTTACTCATTTGAAACATTCAATGATATAATACTAACACTTATGTAAAATATTGCAAGTAGTATTTTTATTTGATTTTTGAAAAACAGTAGTAAATGTACATATTTCTCATGGCAGTAATTCATGGCAATGATAAGTAATTTTCTATGTGTAGTATAACATTTAAAAAATTTTTTTACCACAAACATAACATTTATCAGGGAAATGCAATACTGGTGCTTCTTAAAGCAAAGCTGAAACTCTTTTAAAGGCTGAGCAGCACGCAGTGGTGCAAACCTAAGTCCATATGAAGTGCTTTGTCTTCAGAAAGATCAAGAATCAGATTTTCACTTTTAGATATCAACCTTCAAATAATCACTTGAAATATTCTGCTGTATTTTTTAAACTTGAAAAATTACATTTTGACACTTGAAAATGTGTCACTTGTTTTTTTAATTTTAGTGAGAATATTTTCCCCCATTTAAGATAATTGAAAACATTTTTATTTTGATAAAATACACACAACATAAATAACCATTTGGAGGACTTTGAGTATACAGTAGAGTGGCTTTTGTCTTGTGTTACAATCATTACCACCATCCACTTCCAGCACTTTTTTATTTTTCCTGAACAGAAACTGTATCCATCAAACAAGAACTCCCCAGTGTCCTTTTTGCTGACCATCTGGAATGCCATTCTATTTTCTGTCTCTATAGGTTGAACTACTCAAATTCATGTCTTGTAAGTTGATTTTGCCAAAGATTTTTCTGTTGTGAATGCCTTATTTCAGTATTGTAGCTTCAGGGATTATCTGTATGGCACTACATGCCAGGATGTGCTTTCATAGTAAAGGTTGAACAATATGCCAGTGTATTTCAAAGTTACATTTTGCTTATACGTTCTTATGGTTATAGATATTAGATTGTTTCTAGCTTTGACTCTTGTAAATCATGGTATCAGGAGCACAAGTATACTAAAGACTGGTTCCTTCTATGAAGTTATTTTGATGTGAGTATTTTCTAATCATATGATTATATTTGTTAATACATAGTTATATATCTAGTTTGACACAATACAATTAAGGCAATTAACTGATTAAAAATGACATAAGTTTTCACATATTGATAGTGTAGGTTAACTAAGGCCATGAAAAATAAGACCTGCCTCACAGATCTGCTTTATGGATCCAGTGAGAAGTATAAAACCCTTATTACATCTCAGAGAGGCATGTGCTTTAATTTTCTTTTAGGAACTTGCCATCCATATGTATCAAAATAGGTGTAATACAAGGAACTCCATGTGTTTATTTAAACCAAAGAGCATGATTAATCATTCTGTGGCTAGGCATATGTCTTAGTTATTTTTCTCTAGTTCCTTAGACAAAATACTCAACATCCAAAATTAAAGAAGGGAAGGTTTATTTAGCTCACAGTTTGTAAAGGTTTCAGTCCATAATCTTCTGGCTCCAAGACAGGGTGGCACATGGCAGAGGGACAACAGTTCATGGTGGTGGACAAAAGCAAAAGCAACAGCAACAAGAGAGAGACAGCAGAGACAGAGCAAGACAAGCATCTTTCTTTCCCATACATATTATCCAGTCTACGGGGTGCCAATCCAATCAGTGGACTGGTCCATCAATCACTCACCCTTACTCCCAGCATCCTCACTTCCAGCACTGCACTACGAATCAACACACACTCTAGATTCAACCACCTCCAAAAACACTCTTTGACCACATGAGGCTCTGGGGGACTTCTAGACACAAATCATAACACCACACTATGCCACAATCCCTCATTCTGAAGCAAATGTATTGGCTTATTTTAAGGATATTTACCCATCACACATTTATTTTCTTCCACACATGAGTCTCAAAATATCAATGATACGTTTTTCAGTACTGATGAACACTAAAGGACTGACTGTTGCATAGCCATGGGCCATAAGAATTTGAATACAATAAATTATTGGATTATTATTCAACACAATTCTTGAGTAGGTTAGAGTGTCCAAACTGGTCATGACTACAAAGAAACACAGAAGCAGCAGAATGGTCCTAGTGGCCCTTTGTTCTGCGGATCCTTTTGGAGAAAGTCTGTTGTTGTGAAGATGTTGCGACTGCATCTTATGCCTGCACAAGAGAGTCACTATGTATCCACCTGAGAGAGACACGAGCCCCATGAAGAAGAGATCCCTGAAGGTCAATAATATGAAAAATATGTGCTGGAGTAAATAGCTCATGGGTAAAAGAGAACAAGACTCAGTGACATACAAAATATTTTCTGAAGTTGAATTGGGAGTAGCAGTGATGGAGATAAAAAGGTGACTGCTAATGGATATATGGAACACCCAGAAGAAAAGAAGGGAACGCAGGTTATGATATGAAGATTTGTGTTTGAACTTTGCCAAACAAGAGCTTCTGGGGCTGAGTGTGATGGCCTGAAGGACACTCAGCTGGCAGGTGATGCAAATGGAGAGGCCCCTCATGGATCTGTTCAAGTAGATAACTGATTTACATGTGATGTCATCCCAAAACCCTGGTTGGGAGGTAAAAATGTCTCCAGTTATGAATCCTTCAATTAGCAGCATCACTAGGTGATTTAGAGCCAAGAGGACAACGGGCAGGTCGGTGAGTCTGGGCTTGTGCCCTGCAAGAAATATGATGACGTGGAAGAGAAGAAGGATGGCATTGCCTGAGACCCCAATGACAACTTGAGAATAAAATGTGATTCTGATGTTATTATTACTGAACAACTCATTCTTCACATTCATCTTACATGGAAAGATGCATAAAGTGAATGTCTGAAGAGAAAAGCAAGAATTTGTTACAGACAGAACCTCCTCCATCAATATCAGTGTCACTGCTACCATCGCAAAAATGAATAGACTCTTCCTGGTGCATCCTGATTCCACTTAAAACCTCAGCTCTCCCTCATCCCATCCAAAAGCCATTCAAGCCTCTCCCTGTTGCAACATTTCAGTCATGGCTGGATTGTGCAAGCCAGTGCAGGACTTTCATATGGACCCTCCCACAGATCAGTCATGCACACAGATATTTTATTTCAGTAATATCTTTATTCTTGTTTTATCTTTTATTTTTGGTAGACCAAGTATTCTTAATATATGGACAGAGCAAAGGCTAATAAGTGTGAACTCTGCAGATTTCTTGAATTTATATTAGTGTTTTGCTTTTTCACTCTATGAGTGTGAAGTTTAATCATCTGATGTATAAAATAAGACTACCTATTTTTAGATATTTTATGCTTGAATGGAGCTTAAGTCTACATACCAAACATGGAAGTATTTCTAGCATATAATGATGTCTCCAAAAAGGTTGGCTATTATCATGCAGTTATTCATACATGTTACTGGGTAAAATTAACGCAGTTCTGTCAGTAATTGATGAGTTGTGTCCTTACCTGGAACAAAGAAGACTAACAATTGTCCAAATGGTACAAAATTTGAATAATGCTTCTTCAGAGAACTCTAATGGAATTTTAGGACTTTTGTTTGAATTTTCCAAAGTAGTTCTATATCTCACATATTTTTTATCATCATGGTGGAATAGTCTACGTCAGATGAGTTCAAGTATTAGCAAGAATACTTTTCAATCTTTCTCTTCAGGCATTTTGAACCAGGACAATAAACAGAACCAAAAGGAAAAATACATTCTGGTTATTCCATTTTAAGATTTTAATTAAAAGATGAGTATCAAATGTAATCCTGAAATATAGATTCTGTAGGACTCCAAGCTTTTATCTCATAAGCAAAGATATATCTCCAGCCTTGCTACTCTCAAGCCTAAAACTAATCCAAGAAAATGTGATGAATGATCTACTGGTAGGATAATTCTTGCAAAATATGCAGTTTTACTTTACTTCAATTATCATACATAAGAATTACCTAATATTGTAAAGATATTTCCAGTCACATAATAAAAAGAATTATAATCTGAAAGTCAAAGATGTCAGGCTTAATTACACTACAGCTATTAAGATATGTGGTTCTGTAATGTAAGATGCAAAGGAGAAGCAGAAATGTAAAAAATCAGATGGGATACCATTTAAACATTCAAAGCTGTGGTGAATAGCGGTTAAAACACTTGAAAAACTAGCTATTCTGAAACTAAAATTCCACAGAATTATGAGAAAAAAGTTAAGTCTCATATGATTAATTGACCCTGTATTCTGGACATTTAATATAATCATTGGTAAGTAACTATTTCCCTGCCTTGTGGAATTTTTATATAACCTCTGGGCTTGTTTTCCTTTGTTAGCTTCAATGAACAGAAGTCAGTAAGGGGAGAGAAAGAAATGGAGGTAAATTCAATTTTAGCAAAGTAATGATCACTAAATGAATCTTTTCTTTTCATACAGTCAACATACATACTTTGGCTTATACCATAATAATACCAGAAGAAAAATAGTAAATTAGTATTTAAAATTCCATTTGTCTCCCTCTTTATGCAACACACATGATCACTAACATGCAGCTCTAAATATTATTCTGTGATATTTGTGAACCTGTAATCATAATGACTGTTTTTGTGATTTATTTCATGTAGCATAAAGCATACACTAACACCTTTTTAAAAGAATAGTTTAGAATAGATAGACATTAGCATTTAATAACTAACACTGAAGAATTATTCACAAATTACTTTTTCATGCTATTTCTGTTAAATACAAATTTTGCTTTTATTTAGTTTAATTCAATTGTAATATGTGAGCCTTACAAACACACAGAAGTGTAACCTTTCCAAGCCACATGTTTTGATCATATCTATATCTGAGTACTGCACTACAAAATTTTCAGCATAACTTCAAAAAGTGAAATTCTGCAAACCTAAGTTTTTTTTTTTTTTTTTTTTTTTT